ACGAAAAAAATCAACTGAAAAATATTTCGGTCAATTTTCCTGCACAAGTTTTTTTTGGCCTATTTATATTTGGGAAAACTTTTCCATTTTGGGCTTTACAAGTTTTTTCGGCTTTGTGTTATGATGTTTTAATTAAACACTTTGCAAGCTCTAGTTTCTTCGCCTAACCATATTTGTCTTTGTTGCAAAAGTTTATGCAAGTTTCCCTCGGATTGGTCTGCTCGCCACTTATACATACGTAAATATTTGCAATTAAAATAATTGAGTTTTAAGTTGTCTATATTAGACAAGTTTAGCCAGTGTAGTAAATCATAAAACTTTTCCTCCTTCCCAAACATTTGAGCAAGAAATTTGTGTAGCTTACGTTTTGAGAGAAAGGTTTTTGGCTTAGCTAAAATTTACTTGGCAAGACGAAAAGGGATTATAGAAATTGAAGTGCGTATATGCAATTTCACAAAGACTCAGATAAGTATTCTCATTAAAATAGTAGTAACTATCGTACTCCTATATATAGTATTTTTATATAAATTAATTTGATTTAGGTTCAGTATCTAGCTCTCCATGGGCATAGATATATCCGGTATATCTTTTTAGGCTTGTTATACCAACGTGAGTAAAAATTCTAAATTATAAATGAATAAAATATTTGAGTTTTCCTTTATTGCATATTTGAAATAGATTTCGAATTGAAATTCAATAACAATTTAATTTTTTAACTATCAATAAATCACTTGTTTCCATCATGCTTTAAATTGAAAATTCAGTCAAAATTTTTGTTTATGCAGTAAACTCCTGCTAGACAAATACATACACATGTCTTGTGTAGCTTTTCAGTTATTTGATTGCTCATGTTACGCATACGCAATGTGGTTCAGCAAATTACCACATAAGCAGAACGCAACGTCTAAATGTTGAATATTAGCTTAAATAACTTCTTAGCGCACACATGGCGTATTTTTATTATATATGTGTATGTATATATATTTGTACCCATTTGATTTTTAAGCCCATGGAAAAATAACATCAAAGCTTTCTGTCTTCCATGTAAATTTGTTAAAAATAGCAATAGATACAAATCGATTTATTTTGAAAACGAAATA